AGACCTTAAAACTGCCCCAGGAGAGTCTGGGCCTGGGGCACGGCCCCTCCGCCCGACCAGTCCAGGTTCCCTCCGCCCCAGGTGAGCCGCCACCTGTCCAAGCTCTTCGACAGCCTGTGTAAGCTCAAGTTCCGACTGGGTGCTGACGAGAAGCCCCTGAAGGTGGGCCTGGGGATGTACAGCAAGGAGGACGAGTATGTGGACTTTGACCATGAGTGTGACCTCTCCGGGCAGGTGAGTGACAGCTTCCAAGGCAGGACCTGGCGTGAGTGTGGCAGCAGGCCCCCGTCACCTCGGAGGAGGGACGCACTGTCCCTCTCCTGCACCCCTCCGGCACATGCTCTTGGGCTCCTGAGAGTGCCCAGCCCAGCCTTTCCCACCGCCCTGAGAGGAGCCTTGAGGAGAGGGGCAGGAGAGAGGCTGCTCAAGGTCACGGGACTTGTGGCTGGCCAAGGGGACCGCATCCTGAGAACCGCGGGTTTAGGGGGCCGGCCCAGAGCACTGGCGGCCCTGTTTGGTGGCCTGAGCCCCTGGGGTCCTCCTCCTCTCCCACCCGCGCGCCGGCTGGCCCCTTCCCCAGGCCCCCTGCCCAACTACCCATCGAAATCAGAGAGCGCTGTGACACGGGCACATGAGACCAGGGAGAGAGAGCCCAATGAGGTCCCCAGGCCTCTGTGCAGGACACTGTCCTGAAGGACACAGGAGGTGCTGGGCGGGCAGGGCGGGGCAGAGATCCACCAATCAGAGCTGGTTCCCCATCCCCCAGGCACTTACTCCCCACCAGGACCTGACCCGTACTGACCACTCACCCAGAAAGCCTGCCATGATCCCCTTGGGGACCCTTCCCCGCAGCAGCAGTTGGTTGAAGGGTTATTTTTTGCTTTCTCTGTTCTGATTTCCTGGTGCCGAAATGGAATCCAGGGCCTCAGGCCTGCGGAGCACCCGCATTGAGCTGCACCCTCAGCCACAGCATTTACCTTTCAAAATACAAATAAGACCTGCCAAAGGCCTTGTGGACGGCATGTCCTGTGGCCTGGCCCTCCCGCCCCGGCATCCCTGGACCAGCAGGCAGCAGCACCAAGGCAGAGCCCCTCGGCTGGCGGGGGACCTCAGCTCTGCTCAGCCCTGAGCAGGCTGAGCCTTGCTGTCTGCCCTGTTCTCTGACTTAGAAACAGTCTGCCTGCCCTCCATGCTTAGTGCCGCGAGCTTGCCAGGGTCAGAGTCGGCCGGGCTGCCAGCCAGGGGGTTGAGGTGGGCACTTTTGTGCTCCGTGGCCTCCTTGACATTTCCACCCCAGGACGAGGAGGAGGACAGATGGCCCTTTTCTTCTTGCTTTCCTTGTGTGTGTCACTGGGCTTCACGAGTGTTAGTCAAGTGTATACCACAGAGCTCTGTCCCCAGCCCTTTTCACTTCGAGACAGGTTCTCACTCAGTTGGTGAGGCTGGCCTTGAACTTGGAGTCCTCCTTCCTCAGCCTCCTGAGCMGCTGGGTCTAGAGGCACAGGACACTGCACCAGCTGCTTTCTGGATTTTTCTTTTTTTTCTTTACACCAAAGCAAATCCTTGGAACTGATGTGCTCAAGGCTCCTTGAGGTCAGTGTGGCTTCTGTCCCCAGGTGGAGGTCTGGCTCAATCGAGTGCTGGACAGAATGTGTGCCACCCTTCGACACGAAATTCCAGAAGCCGTGGTGACCTACGAGGAGAAGCCGAGGGAGCAGTGGATCTTCGATTACCCGGCCCAGGTCCGGGGCCCAGCAGGGTGGGCGCGGTGCCGTGSCTCTGCCTAAGGGCTGGGTTTCTAAGGCGCTGAGCCCCTGGGCTGATGGCAGAGAGGCTCATGGGGAGAGAGCCAGCAGGGGGTGGCGTGGTTCCTGATGAACCGCAGGCGCCAGCGCTCACCGCGGGGCCACTGCCCCCTCTGCTTCCAGATTGCGCTGACCTGCACCCAGATCTGGTGGACCACCGAGGTGGGCCTGGCGTTCTCGCGGCTGGAGGAGGGCTATGAAAACGCCATCAAAGACTACAACAAGAAGCAGGTGGGCCAGGCTCCGCCCCCAGGGCCACTGTCCCCCAAGGTCGCACACAGGGGTCAGAGTGGCCTGCTCCCAGGGTCCCACCTCCGGAGTGCAGGACCCAGTAGCTCCTCTGGAAATCAGCAGATACTACCATAGACTTTTTTTTTTTTTTAATATTTTTAGTTCTAGATGGACGCAATAGTATCTTTATTTTGTTTACTTATATTTACGTGGTGCTGAGGATGGAATCCAGGGCCTCCCACTTGCGAGGTGAGCGCTCTGCCACTGAGCCCCAGCCCAGCCCACAGCTTTTTTTTTTAAGATTCTTGGTTAGATACTTAGAAACTAYAGATGATTTTTAAAATAAAATACAGGGAATTTACCCACAGTCCCATGTCACAGCGATACCACTGTCCACGTTTTCTCACGGTCTCCTCCTGTTCTGGGTTGCATACAGTGGTATTTATACGCAAAAAAAAAAAAAAATAGACACACTAGCCAGGCTGGGTGGCCCTGCCTGCAGCTGGTGGGCGCCACGCGGGTCTCAGGGAAGGTGCCGGTCCCCCTGCAGATCAGCCAGCTGAACGCGCTCATCACRCTGCTCATCGGGAGCCTCAGCGCCGGCGACAGGATGAAGATCATGACCATCTGCACCATCGACGTGCACGCCMGGGACGTGGTGGCCAAGATGATCGTCGCCAAGGCAGGTTCAGCCCTGCCCCTTCCTGGGGGTGTCCTCGCCGCCCCAGCCCTCCCGGGGACTCCCCCAGCAGCTCACCAGCAGCACAAGTGCCGTCCGGAGCCGGCCGGGGCAGCGAGGGCAAGGGTGGCATGGGTCTGGAAGGGAAATGGCCRGGAGGGTCCGACCGAGGGCTGCTCCCTGCAGGTGGAGAGCTCCCAGGCCTTCACGTGGCAGTCGCAGCTCCGCCACCGCTGGGATGAGGAGAAGAAACACTGCTTCGCCAACATCTGCGACGCCCAGATCCAGTATTCCTACGAGTACCTGGGCAACACGCCGCGGCTGGTCATCACCCCCCTCACAGACAGGTGAGTGCCCGCGGCCACCACCCCRCCCCACRGCCACTCGTCTGCTCCTCACTGATSGGCCTGAGTCAGGCAGACCCGCCAGCTGCCAGGTRCTGTGGCTCTGCACCCTTGCTGTGTGGCTTTGGGGGAGTCAGCTGGCCTCTCTGAGGGCCTGCAAGGTGGGTGCTGTGTTCCGTGAGTCCTGGTGAGTTTGTCGAGGATGGAGTGCCGTACAAAGTCACTGGGACCAGAAGCTGCTTGGCGTAGACCCCGTTCGACTGTGGTGTCCGCAGGGCGCTCCCCAGATCTGCAGGAGGGCCCGGCACCTCTGCTCCACGAGGCCCTTCCTGTCCACTCCCTTTCATCCCCCGGGGGCTGAGCGGGTGCTGCTGTCACTCAGCTGGCTGAAACCACACACCAGGTGAGGCAGRACAGCAGGGTCACCCAAGAAGGGGACGGGGTCTTCGGCAGGTGCTACATCACGCTGACCCAGTCTCTGCATCTGATCATGGGCGGAGCCCCCGCGGGCCCTGCAGGCACCGGCAAGACAGAAACGACCAAGGACCTGGGCCGAGCGCTGGGCACCATGGTGTACGTCTTCAACTGCTCCGAGCAGATGGACTACAAGGTGGGCAGCCGTGGCCACGGGCGCCCAACTAGGGCCGAGGAAGGGCTCCTGGTCCCAGGCCGCCCCCCAGGCAGCTCTGAGGGTCCCAGAAGCTGTGAGGACCTGGGAGGAGGCTCCTAGGGCCCCGGGGGCCCCGTGTGCTACAGCGTCCCCTGTGTGGCCTGTTGGAAGAGGCTCCYGGAGCTGACAGACCCATGTCCTGCCCCTGTCCCCAGAGGCAGCCTTAACAGAGGTCAGAGGCTGCCAGAGGAGCAGCCCATTCTTGGTGCGCAGCGCAGGATGCTGGGTGGAAGCAGGGGCCAGCTGGGCAGGGCCATAGGTCATGGAGACTGCAGGGCCTCATCAGAGCTCAAAGGGCCAAACAGGAGAGGGGGCCTCAGTTTTTGCCCAGCCATAGCAGCCTCTTGCAAGAGGAGGTGGGCAGTGGTCAGAGCCCTACCACTGGGAGTCCCTATCCAGAGGCTGAGGAGGGTCCACTGGCCCTGCTGACCATCAAGGCGGTCACCAGCCTCCCGGATTCTAGAGAAGTGAAATTGAAAGTCAAGTGCCCCAGGAGGGGAATCCCCTGGGTGAGTGTCCCCAAGAGTCACCCTGATGATCCAGCTGGGCCAGAGTGACCCAGAGGTCCAGAGAAGTCCTGGGAGTGCTGGGGCCCTGCTMGGCCTCAGAGGGACCCCTCCTTCGCGTGCAGTGAAGGAAGGTGGGGACGAGGGGCACGCAGAGCGGAATCGCAGAACCAGTCGGTCCTGCTTCTGGGGAGGGACGCCCTCTCTGGGGGCCGGGGTGCAGGATGTCCCTGCGGCTCCCAGCCCTCTGCCCGTGAGCCTGTTGTGGGGAGTGGCCTTCCAGAGGCCCCAGGCTGAGCCTGGCCCCGGGTGGTGGTGGCGGGGCCTGCAGCCCTGCCCTCTGCCTCTTGCCGCCCTCTAGTCCTGTGGCAACATCTACAAGGGCCTGGCCCAGACMGGAGCCTGGGGCTGCTTCGATGAGTTCAACCGGATCTCGGTGGAAGTCCTGTCCGTGATCGCGGTGCAGGTAGGCCCTGCCCCAGCTCTGCTCGGGTGGGTAGCTGGCCGCTCTGGCAGCTGGGGGCGTCTCAGCCACCAGAGGGACCCTCCTGCCGATGTGCAGCGCTCCAGGCGGGGGTGGCAAGATGCCCAAGGCCACCCTGGGCCCCCGACCCWCAGCCCGCCGAGGCGTGCGGAGATGGACACAGCAAACAGACCTGGCCTAGAGGACCAAGGACATGCAGGGGTCTTCACTGGGGGTGGGGGTGGGGGGACTGGAAGAGAAAGCTACCAGGAATCTAGCTTTACAGCTCTTAACTGGCTGGTGATTCTGCACTCGGGCAGCAGTCGAGGCCAGGACGGTCCCCGTCCCRCCTGCCACATGGGCAGGTTACAGCCAGAGGAAAGGAAGGGAGGTGGAGGCKCTGGATTGGTCACAGCTGGCGCCCGTCTTGTTTGAACAGTTTGGACAGTTGACTGAGGGTGACTGGCTGAGACTCTGCTTCCTGTCACGGGAGTAGGTCACCGTGGTCCCGCATCATGTTAAGGTTCACTGCTCGCGGTACCTATGCAGGGAGACACCTTGGAGCCAAACTTAAAATGCACACGGAGGCAGCCGTGGGCCAACAGCTCAATCTAACGGGAGAGGGTCAAAGGGTTTCGTGCAGGCATTAGGAGCTGGGCTTGGAAGGGTGCATAGGAGTTTCTTAGTTAGACAAGTGTGCTGAGAGCCTATCAGGGAAGGAAGAGGAGGAGGGAGGGAGGGAGGGAGGGAACGTGCCGTGTGTTTTGGGAACGCCTGGGAAAGCACAGGACTAAAGTGCAGAGCCTGAGGCAGAAAGCAGGGTCCTCGGATCAGGGTGACGCCAGAGACCAGAACTTCTGGCCGGTGAAATGAAGCCGGGCCCAGGACCAGGAGCACACAGGCGAGCTTCGATGGGGGTTCACTCCAGGGGGCAGCCCAGGATGGGAGACCAGGCTGCTCCCTCAATGGGGAGGGCCAGCCTTTCCCGGGGGGGCTGGGGGGCTGGGTGAGGGTCCTGGGCCTCAGGGGTCTCCGGAGGGCGTGACTGCAGGTTTAGGGCAGAGGCTGGGGACCTCTAGGTCTCTCCAGGCACCTGGACGAGGACATTGTGCTCTTCCCTTGGTGTCCTTGGCGCTGAGGGACGAGGCAGGCTGGGAGAACCCAGGGCGATGGCGGCATCACCAGTCTGTAAAGTGGCCCTCCTTAAGTGGGGCGYGTGCCTGCGCGGAGCCGAGCGGGAAGGCAGAGGAGCCGCAGGTGGGCGGGCAGGCCCGGGTAAGGAGCGCTCGTCAGCAGGGCTGGCCCCTCGAAGGCCCCGGCACAGTGGGGCTCAGGCTCCTGCCGTGTTTGTGGCTCTTCAGTGTCTAACGGTCTTGAGTGAAGGCCGCGGAGTGCGTCTGCCTTGGTCCCTGAGGTGGCCCCAGCTGCCTGGGCCGGCTCCCAAGTGTGGGGGAAGGTTCCGGACCACAGACATTATAAACAGAAGCCCCAGTGGTCCTGAGGCTGTGSATGCAAGAGCCACTGCGCCCTCCCTCGGAGGCCACCTGAGGCCAGCCCCAGCCCCAGGATCGACGCTGAGATTCCAAAAGGAGGGGGAAGCAAGGAGGGCCAGGGCGCTGAGACCCCTCCCCACACCCAGCACAAGAGGGCCGGGCCGCTCGGGGCTYGTACTCAGGGCAGTGAACCCCAGCTCTCTGCACAGGGGCCATTTAAAGTCTTTGCACCCCGTCTCCTAATCTGTTTGCCCGTGGGATTGGAGSGAACGCAGGCAGAGGCTCCCTCCTCCCGCTCCTGTGTCCACGCTGACTTGCCCAGCCCTGAGGCTGGAGGCCATCCGGCAGAGAACATGGGCAGCAGAGACCTGACCCTTGGCACGGTTGGCCACCTCCTTGGGGACCCTGCCCTGGCCCCCGGGGCATTGAGCAGTGTTCCTGCCCCTCGCCCAAGTTGGCAGACAAACCCCRGAATATTTAGGCAGAGTCTGATTGAGGTACTGAGTGTTTGGAGGCACAAACAGAAGCAGGAACAGGAACAGAACRGCAGGAGGGGCTTGGTGCTGGGCCAGGTGTTCCCAGACCTGAGACCACTGTGCGGACCGCAGGGACGAAGCCCCAGTGCCCCTGGCTGGCTAAGGCTCTCTCTGCTCTGGGGTGAGCGAGGCTTCAGCCATGGGCGTTGGGTGCCCTCCAGTGGTGACTCGGAGGTTTGCAGCCACCTTCTCGAGTTTCTGCAAAAATCCAAACGCAGACCAGATCCCTGGAGTTCTGGATTTAACCTGGTCGACGGCAGCAGACGGTCTCAGAGGCTCTGTGACACAAAGGGGTGGCCACTGAAGGACCTCCCAAGGGAACAGATTCAAGAAGGGCTGGGGCTGGAACAGAACTTGGCAAGGGCTGGGAGCAAGCTGCCGCCCACAGCAACCTGGACGCCCCGGGGAGCTTTGCTGAGCCACAGGAGCTGCCTCAGGTCACAGGCTGCATGACACTTCTCCAAGTGACGGGCAAATTAGGGCACTGCCATGCTGACGTGTCTGTGCACCAACCATTTAGGTAAAATGTGTCCAGGATGCAATTCGGGCCAAGAAAAAGACGTTTAACTTCCTGGGAGAGATGATAAGATTGATCCCCTCGGTCGGCATCTTCATCACYATGAACCCCGGGTACGCRGGACGCACAGAGCTGCCCGAGAACCTGAAGGCCCTGTTCAGGTGTGTGACCCTGGGGAGAGGTGAGCAGGCAGTGGAGGAGGAGCAGGGCTGAGCTGGGGACGAGGCCGTGGGGACTGCAGGTCGGGGCCTGGCAGGCAGGCAGCGGGAAAGGCCTCCTCCAAAGCTGTGGGTCCTGCCGAGGCGGGAGGTCCCAAGGGAGATACCTGCCCATCCACTGGAGGAAGCCGGAGAGTGGGTGGTGAGGGCCTGGGGCATGGGGTGAGGGCAGAGGGCATGGCAGGGAGGAGAGGTGGGCTCTGCCAGGGGAAGGGGCAGGTGGGGGCAGGAGTCGGGTGAGAGGAGAAGCCCAAAGCCCACGCCATCCCCCCAGGCCCTGCGCCATGGTGGTCCCCGACTTTGAGCTCATCTGTGAGATCATGCTGGTGGCCGAGGGCTTCCTGGAGGCCCGCCTGCTGGCCAGGAAGTTCATCACACTCTACACCCTGTGCAAAGAGCTGCTCTCCAAGCAGGTGTGTGCCCCGGGAGGGTTCCACGTGTCCCAGGGCCACCCTGGCCTCCATCCCCGTCCTGCCCCCCACACTGGCCCCAGGGCCACCCTGAGCCTGGCGGCACCCGCTGGCCAGGTGGGGRGGCGCCTTCTCACCACCTGCCCCCACAGGATCACTACGACTGGGGCTTGCGGGCCATCAAGTCCGTGCTGGTGGTGGCCGGCTCCCTGAAGAGGGGGGACCCTGCCCGAGCAGAAGACCAGGTGCTCATGAGGGCGCTGCGGGACTTCAACATCCCCAAGATCGTGACCGACGACCTTCCCGTGTTCATGGGGCTGATCGGGGACCTCTTCCCGGCTCTGGACGTGCCTCGGAAGCGAGACCTGAACTTTGAGAAGGTAGGTGGGCCCTCCTGTCCCGGAGAGCCGCCTGGACGGGCCCTTCTCCTGCTGTACGCTGGCCGGCAGATCCCTGGCAAAGACAGCCCCGGTGTGGGGGGGTGGCCCGAGTGTCTCCCCTGCCTCCCTGGGTGGCCCCCTGGCCCCTCTTGCCCTGCAGGCCCCACCTTTTTCAGTGCCCAGGTCCCAGGGGGAGCGGGGTGGGGTTCAGGCAGTGTGCTGGGTTTTGGGCAGTGGGGTGGGGTTCGGGCCGTGGGGTGGGGTTCGGGCCGTGGGGTGGGGTTCGGGCCGTGGGGGCTCTCGGCAGCCTCAAGGGCAGAGCTGGCGAACACATCCGCGGTGGGGGGTCGGGCACTCCTGGTGTCCTCTGGGCTGCTGAGCCCGCCCTCCGCCCCAGATCATCAAGCAGAGTGTGGTGGAGCTCCGGCTGCAGGCCGAGGACAGCTTYGTGCTGAAGGTGGTGCAGCTGGAGGAGCTGCTGCAAGTCCGGCACTCGGTGTTCGTCATYGGGAACGCGGGCAGCGGCAAGTCCCAGGTCTGCCCCTGTGGCCTGCAGGGACACAGCCAGCACGCYGGGGAGGGCTGGGCCCCAGGGTCAGGGACCCCGCCTCGTGCATCGTGGTGTCCTGGCCCCAAAGGCAAGGGGCCTGCGCCAGGAAGGAGGAGGGCACAGTCACGGCCCTGGTCCCTGAGGACCTGCCCCTCCCGGCTGACTCGAGTCACCTGGCCCCCGGCAGCCCCACCCCACCCCCTGTTCCTGGCCCAGGCAAGGGGGAGGGTGACATTACCAATGTCGGTGACCCTGGAAGTCCTACCCAGGCCTGTGGTCAGCGGGGTGTCCACAGGATGAACTGTGTGCGGCTATCAAACTCATTTCTCGGGCTGCGATGTGATAAAGCACTGGCCTAAGCACGCACAGGCCCTGGGTTCAATCCCCAGCGTCGCAAAAATAAAAATGAATTTAAAAGTCATTTCCAAAGACTGATGACATAGGGGACCTCAGGGCAAGCTGCCTTTCAAAAGGCAGAAACTGTTCAGAAACGGTTTCCTGAGCGGGGCCTGCACCTACAGGGACGAACAGGGGATGCCCTCAGAGGGCCTGGCGGGTGGGTGGTCTCCTCCCTGGAGGCTGCGTGTTCCGCTGTGCTTCCCGTGAGCATGCACTACTCGTAGAAGGAAGAGGAAATGAAGCGGGTTTTTCTGGACCTGAGCAGGGTCCGAGGGTCCRAGAGCTCTAGCGGTCTGCACCCGTGAACAGGCCACTCCACGCCAGCCGTTGTCTGGGCTGCCGACTCACCCCCAGGAGGGCCTACCCACTCCAGAGCAATCCAGGAGCAGCGAGGGGCTCCCCGCTGGTCCCAGGAAGGCTGCCCTGCACAGGCTGCGTGTGTCCCCGATGAGGGCGCAGTGGGTGTCGAGGCACACCTGAGTGACGTCTGCCCTGGCCAGGTCCTCAAGTCCCTCAACAAAACCTACCAGAACATGAAGAGGAAGCCGGTGGCTGTGGACCTGGACCCCAAGGCCGTCACCTGTGACGAGCTCTTTGGCATCATCAACCCAGCGACCAGGGAATGGAAAGACGGTAACTAACGGGAGCTGTGGCCTCAGGAGTGGGCGGTGGCAAGCTCTGCCTGGTGGCCCTGGTCCTCTGGGCGGGTCACCAGGCTCAGTGCCGTTCACYGAGACTCTGCCTGTCCAGCTGCCCTCGGCAGATGATTCCCACCCTTGGAGCAGGGAAAGAGCCTGGGAGGACAGTGGACCACCACCAGGCGGGGGGGAGCTGCAGGAAGAGAACCCGAGGCCAGGCGAGGGCCCGAGGCTGGACAGGCAGGCTGTTTGGTGGCCCTGCCTCTGTCCCTGGGCTCTGGGAAAGAAGGTCCTCCCCACACCTCAGCCTCGGCCGGCTTCCCAGGCTGGGAGCCACTCTGCCTGGTGCCCTCCCACCTCCGCCTCTCGCCCACTCTGCCCCTCGGGTGCTGCCCACACCTCTACAGTGACAGGGCTGTGACCATCTGCGACTCTGTACCCAGTCCCCACAGCCCTCCCAATCCCGGCAGGTGGGGGGAGCACCGCAGGACCTGGGGTGGGGAGGGCAGGCAGGAGGCCACCTGGGGCAGGGGACGGGGAATGAGCCGGCCACCTCCTCGCAGGCCTGTTCTCCACCGTCATGCGGGACCTAGCCAACATCACTCATGACGGCCCCAAGTGGATCGTCCTGGATGGGGACATCGACCCCATGTGGATCGAGTCTCTCAACACGGTCATGGATGACAACAAGGTGAACTGTCCCCAGGCCACCTTAGGAGGGGCCATGAGGGCAGCCARCCATGCACACTGAGCACTGCCCAAGGCTGGGACCCAGAATGGGCACAAACGTCACGAGGGGCAGAGGCCACCTAGTCACTGCACAGACATTGGACGCAGTTCCACACGCCCCTCGTGAGGACAGGGACAGTTCTCCAGCTCGTCCTTGGCAGCACATGGAAAGGACAGCCGAAGCCTGGGAGGAGAAGTGGTTTTCAGAGTTATCTGAAGCAGTTTAAGGTGCCCCTCAGCCGGGCACAGTGGCACACACCTGTGACCCCAGCAGCTCAGGAGGCTGAGGCAGGAGGATCATGGTTCAAGGCCAGCCTCAGCAGCTTAGCAAGGCCCTAAGCAACTAAGCCAGACCCTGTCTCTAAACACAAAAAGGGCTGGGGGTGCCGCTAAGTGGAAAGGTGTTTGCTAGCTGGCACGAGACCCTGGGTTCTGTGTCAGCACCACACACACACACACACACACACACACACACACACACACACGAAGGAAATGATTCTCACCGGGTGGAGGGATGCAAGAACTTCCAGGATCGCAAGGGCCACGGTTCTGGACATTTCAACTCCTGTGTCTAGAGCTGCCCAGGGGGTCCTCGTGCCAGGTGGGGAGAGGGGTGTGGAGGCCAGGCAGGGCTAGAGGGCGGGGAGACCCCGGTGCAGGGTGGGCGTGCACGCTTCCCGCGGCTCCTGGCCTGCTGGACCCAGCAGGGATGACACGCAGCTGCGCTGACCCCAGGCGGGCTCCCGTGTCCTGCAGGTCCTCACCCTGGCCAGCAACGAGCGAATCCCCTTGAACCGCACCATGAGGCTGGTGTTTGAGATCAGCCACCTGAGGACCGCCACCCCGGCCACCGTCTCCAGAGCCGGCATCCTCTACATCAACCCCACGGACCTGGGCTGGAACCCGTGAGTAGGGTTGGCTGTCCCACCCCCGTGCAGAGCAAGGGGAGGCGGCCAGCTGTCAGAGTAGCCCACCTGCCCCCACCCGTCCGTCCATGGGACAGTGGTCATGTCACTGTCCCCACCCCGTCCGTCCATGGGACAGTGGTCATGTCACTGTCCCCACCCCGTCCGTCCAT